CTAAGGCAGCTACACCCTGGTGCAACCATCACAAAGCAAGAGAACTAGAAAGGCGAAGCTCACCATCCATTTATCCCTCCACCTTTCAATTAGCCCCACGTGTGATTGCCAGGTTAACACAATTAACTAACTCAATGGGTTTCCCCTTCACCCAAGTTAACATACGCCTACCCTCCAGTCAGTATCCTACCTTCCTCCCCAATCCCTGGTAACCATCAAAGAATGTTTCTTTTCGTGTGAAAATCTTTTTGTAACTTTTTTAAGCACTTGGTCTTCTACAATATTTATCTGTTTGTGATTGACTGATTCCACTCAGCACAGCACTCTCCAAGTTCACCCATGGTCAATAGGTGTTTGGTTGGTTTTTTGTGGTTGCTGTTGTTTTTCAGATCTGTTATTCTTAACATTGAGTATTCTGTTGTATGTACTATTATTTGTTCATGTATTATTTTTCCATTATTTCACTGATGGGCATTTGGGTTGTTCCTATCTGATAGCTACTGTGACTCTTGCTGCAGGGAACCTGGGTCTGCGTGGATATCTATTGGTGCCACTGATCTTTTTCTTTTTTATCACCATTATCACCATTAGGTGTTCTACAGTAATTTGAACATATAGCAAAAGGAAAGAGTCTGCCGTTACAGGAACCTCACAGTCGTTTCTCTCTGAGTCAAATGGTGACACCACTGTGTCAATCCACACAGATCTTATTGCTTGAGAGTATTTACAAGTAGTAAGATTTCTGTGTCGTATGGTATTTCTATTTCCAAGTTTTTGAGAAAGTGCCATATCATTTTACACAGTGTTTATACCATTTTACAGCTTGACCAACAGCGTATGAGCGTTCTAGTCTCCCTACATTTTCCCCAGCATTTGTTGTTTTCTGTATTTTAGAACATTGCTTTTAATGCTGGGGTGAGATAATAGCTTATTGTTGTTTTGAGTTGCATCTCTCCAGTGGCTAATGAAGGTGGGCATTTCTTCATGTGTCCACTGGCTGCCTGGATGTCTTCTTTGGTGTCTGTTCATGTCCTCTCACCATGAAGAAAAAGCAGATTGGGGGGGGGACATTTTCCTGTTGAAGTGTTGAAGTTTTTCCCCAATCTGGGGTTCTCTTTCTACTCGTTTGTCAAAACCTGTTGGTGTACGAAAGAGTTTAGGGTCTAATTTTTAGAAAGACCCAGTCATCTATTTGGTCCCTGCTGGTTGTGTCTTTTCAGTTATGTTTCATTGTGTACTTATGCCAAGTTTTAGGACCCTATGGAGTAATCTTGATAGATTTTTCTCAAAGGACACAGGGCAACCATGGCATGATGGAGGGCAACACTTGACAAGGAGAAGTCTTGAGAAAATAGAGAAAGTGTGTTGGTGAGGAAAAGACCAGGAAATTGTGCCAAGAAATTGCTTCGCATCATGACAAGACACCTGTTCATTCTTGGAGGAAAGCCAGAGCTATGCTTTGAGCATCCCATTAGGAAGCCTGACCCCAGTCACCCTGTAAGCCCAGTATTGCTCGTTCAAATGTCTTTTCATTTCCCAAACTCAGAGAACTTTGAAAAGAAACATTAGTTGGGTCCTTCCAGGGTGCCCAATCTGCTGTCTTGACATGGTGTAAATCAGAGAAAAGTTAGAGAGATGGAAACACCACTTTCATAAGTGTGTAAACCTAGACAGTGAATCTGTTGGGGAACAATTTTGATACTTTTGTTCAATAAAAATTTCTATTATTTTATAGCAATACCTTTTGACTTACTGTCCTATGTTGCGCTGGCAAATGATTTATTACATATGAATGGGCTTCAATAAGTTTGTGGAAAAATGAAATTCTAAAACAATGGAATTTTCCCATGAACTTTTGAAGTCTCTTTGGATGTCTATCTCGCACATGCATGCACATCATTGGACTGAATTGAGAAATAAGCCACAGCCCTGTGTTGACATAATGAAAATGACCTGCACGTTTCTCTTCTGCCAAACACGTGTCCTTTGACTGGGAAAGTGTCTACCTACATACAAGTATCAAGAAAAAAATATCTCTTAAATCTACAAAACACAAAGTGCACCAAACAATTCATCCCAAGGAAAAGTGTAACTAGAAACAGTCGAGGGCTTCTCCTCCATTTATTCAGTAGAGTCTCCCAAGTGGGGCAAATGGTTAGAGGCTGGAAGCTCTAGGGAGTCCAGCTCTACTCTGACTTCCAATCGGGTCTCCATGAGTCAAAATCAATTCCACAAAAATTGGTTGTTTTCCTGTGTCTGCGGCACTGCATCGGGTGCTGGAGGTAGGACAGAGACAGTCCCTCCTTCATGGGGTTTAAAATCCAAGCAAAAGATTCGATTTTAAGACATGACAAAACAAGAATAATTTATAAATTATCTAGGGTGAGGGAGTGAGAGAGGGGGTTAGAGAGGGGAAAAACGAGGAGCTGATACCAAGGGCTCAAGTAGAAAGAACATGTTTTGAGAATGATGATGTCAACAAATGTACAAATGTGTTTGACACCATGGATGGATGGATTGTGATGGGAGTTGTATGAGCCCCCAATAAAATGAGTTGTTTGTGTGTTTTTTTTAAAAGCACAATAAAGGAAACTTTACAGAGCCCAAATAAATTAAATAAATAAATACATGTGTTGATTTTTCCACCACCTATGTTGTCTCCACTTCTAAGATCCTTGTTGTCACTGTTGATGTTTGTGGTCATGGACTCACAGTGACCCCATGCACGCAGAGTGGAACTGCTCCCAGGGGGTTTCAAGGCTGTGATCTCAGGGAAGCAGATTGTGAACTGTGCCTTCCAAGGCAGCCCTGGGTGGGTTTGCATCACCAGCCTTTCAGCCAGTAGTCAAGAGCTTAACCATTTGTCCCACCCAGTAATTCGTCATCAGAACTCTGGAAGCCAAAACCCATCACCCTGACTGTACAGATACAGAAGTATAAGCATAGATGTGCCCAGGATCACCTGAGTCTACAAGCTCTTTCTGCTTCTCCACAGTGACTGCCTTGTGTAACCTTTTTCTTCTGTTTATTCCTGAAAGGATCCAAAGCATTGTTTATTTAAAGACAATTTCCTTACCACAGGAGATTAGAGGTGGCCAGGAAACATGATGATCAAGAGACTCACTGGCGGGCATCTAAGGCGGAAGGCGGAATCACCACCACTTAATAATGTCAGTGGAAAAAGGGTGTGGGGGGGGGCGGGTTTCTAAAGAGAACATTATAGTTAAGCAAACAATATTTCAAAGAATGCTTACCGGCCACCACACCATACTCCGGCCTGCCAGAAAGAAGCCTCCAACGGTCCCACGATTCGTGGAAAACATAGCCTGAGGGGAAAGGGGATGAGAGGTTAGTAAGAAACTAAAACAAGGTGTCTTTGCCAGCCAACAGGATATACCTGCCCACACACCCACACTTGTGTCTACCCACTAGACTTTCTCGGACACCTCCACATTCCCAATTCTCCAGTTCCTCAATAGACTCGGATGAAGGAGGCAGGAGCCTACTTTTGATATCTAAAGACAGAGAGACTCAAAACATTTAAGCAGTTTGTCCTCGTCCAAGTTCAAGTCCTTCCTCTGCAGCTAGCAAGTCACTTTATCTCAGTGGACTTAGTATTCTGGTCTGTTAAACATTAGAAAATGTAACATTCGATGCCTTGCCTGCACATATATGCAAGGTACCAAATGAACTGACATATTTTAAAAATCATTTTACTGGGGGCTCTTACAGGTCTTACAACATGCCATACATCAATTGTATCAACCATATTTGTATATATGTTGCCATCACTATTTCCAAAACATTTTCTTTCTACTTGAACCCTTGGTATAAGCTCCTCTTTTTTCACCCCCTTCCTCCCCCACTCTCCCACCCAAACCAGCATATTTTTGAAAAGCAACCATATGATATATGGATTATATCTCAAAAGATCTACTACCAAAAAAAAGAAAGAAAAATATCCTAAGAATATAAGAGTTAGCGCTAAATACCACATAAAAGACTGGCTATTCAAACTCAAATCTTTGTGAGGATTTAAGTAGAAGAGTCTTAGAATCATGACTCTTCACTCTATGATGAAAACAGGTCAACAGAGGGGAAGGAGAGGGGGTCAGGAAAGGCTGGAAGAAAAACAATGAGTTGTCTTAGTCAGGGGAAAGATAAACAGCAAAAACAAGGACCGCACAAATGCAACCATGACTAGTGAGGGAAGGCGTACGTGAGGTGTCATCAAGGGAAACTGGGCGAGGTGCATGAATGGGAAGGGTGGTGAAATGTGGGGTTAACCACAGGGCCTCAAATTTCCTGCTAGAATGTATAGATTGTATTCTGTAGGCAGTGGGAAGTCACTGGAGGGTTATGAGAATGACATGTCTTTTCAGGTTACCTTAGAAGGCTACCTTGTGAGCTTTTAGTCTATTTCTGGTCTAGCTCAAGAGTAGGCTCAGATCTCCAGCACATAATATGGACAATATCTCTGCCCCTGGCCTCTTCCTCTTTTCTCTCTCTCTCTCTGTTAACAGCCTCCTCCCAGCTAGAGTGAGATAATCTTCCACAAGGTTTTAATGGTTGATAATGACTTAGCCCTATCAGAGGTGTCTGTAATCCCAAAGGGGATGACTGAGCCTAAGAGCATCTCTGGCTCAAAGGGATTCATCTTTGAGGGTGACGTGTCAGGTACTCAGAAACTCACCATTCGTTCATCGAACACAGTTGCTACAGAGAGCATATTGCTAGGTGCTCATATATTGTAGTCATATATTGGCCTCCCGAGGGAGCATTGTCATCCTTGCATGCAAATAATCTTGAGCAAGCATTACGTAACTAGGGAGAGCCAGGTAGAGTGAGGCTCAGACCTTTCTGGACCTCTCTCTTACCAGACATACTCTTGAGGTCCCCCACAGTGAGTGTGGTCTTTAGATAAATTTATGTCAACTTGAAAGTGTAGGGGTGGTATCGAACCTGTCAATCAGTTCACAGCCTGATGGTGCCTCCTTGTGGCCATGACCTTTTTGTAAGGAGGTTCCTAGGAATCCCCCCGCCCCCATCTCTCTGCTACTGACCCTGAGCGCTGCTGGAGTCCTGCCATGTTTCCACCAACCTTGGATCCATGAAACTTTGCACCCACTGCCCTGTGATCTTCCTGCAATCTGCATCATTGCATGTTTCTGCATGGGTCAAAAGAGGGACTTATGGACTAGCATCGGACTTATGGACTTGAGTTGGACTGGGCTGGGATGCTTTTTTTTTTTTTTTTTTTTGACATATAATTACTTCTTGATAGAAAGCTCATTCTTACACTGGATTTGTTTCTCTAGTCAACCCAGCCTAATCCAGTGGGAACAGCAAGAGGACAAACAGGTGTCAAGAGCAGAGGAGGTTGCTAGGAATGCAACCAGAAGTTCCAAAGACCCGAACTTTGGCAACTGGTCAGGAAAAAGTCATTCTGAAGGAGCCCAACCCCAAACATTGCTCAGTTGGTCTCATAAATGAAAAGCTTAAAAGTAGAATGTGAAAGTGGAGGACTAAAATATACTATAGATGTACAAAAGACGTACTATATCAGACCCTCTCTTCCTTCGGATATAGCCCATCTTTCATCTTGGCAAACCAGACCTCATCTACTTTTCTGCACTCACACACACTCACTGTCCTTAAGTAGACTCAGCCTCCTGGTGCCCCTTTAGGACAGAGGAAAGCTGCTCCATAGCGTTTCCAAGACGATAAATCTTTATGGGAGCAGACAGCCTCATCTTTGTCCCGAAGAGTAACTGGTAATTTTGAACTGCCTACCTTGTGGTTATCAGCCCAACACGAGGACATCTTACTAATCCTCAAGGGGCCTCACATGCCAGTCTTCCTAGGGAGCCCTACCTGACACACACACACACACACACACACACACACACACACAGAAGAATTCTTCTGTCTGATGGCACCCTACCCTCCCCAAAGACAAGCAATCTCTCCTTCCTATGAATGCCTAGAGAACTAAGCCTGAATTTTTTTCATGGCCCTTATAATCGTTGAACTTTATGTCACCAAATCATAAAATGTTCATCCTCTATAATGTTTAATATGATGCTTCGTGCACGGTATATATTGACCAAAATGTTGAATGAATGGGCTCCTCAGTACCCTAAGCCTCCACTCATCCTCTGTACCTGTCCTTAAAGCCCATTTTCAAAATGAGCAGCAGTCATCAGGCAGGTTCTTGGCAAATGGTCTTTCTATGAGCAGCACTTAGCAGTATTTAGCAGGTGCCTCCCGAAGTACCTAGCGTTGCAAGCAGTTAGCACACCCTACAGTTAGCTGAGAGGTTTGGCTCTTTCCAGAGGTTCCTCCAAAGACACGCCTAGCCATCTATTTCTAAAACTCAGCTCTTGAAAATCCTATGAAGCAGAGTTCTCCTTTGTCACCTATGGTGTCACCGTGAATGAAAATAAACTGGCTCTTTTCCTGGAGTCAGGCACTGCAACCCAGAGACGTTACCGCCTCCTTCTTGTCTCTACAAATAGCCGAGTCAGCACGGAGAGCAAGGAATACACAGAGCAACATTACAAGGCTCCGGGACTCCACTTTGTAAGCCATGGAATTAGGTTTGTCTGTCAACCCAACAGCTTAGCAGAGAAAGAACTCACAATTGCAAGCCTACCACCCTCAACTCACCATCGTCAAGTCAAGTCTGACTCACAGCAATTCTAGAGGACAGGGTAGAACTGCCCCTGGGGGTTCTGAGACTGTCACCCACTGAATAGCTGGTGGGCTTTGAACCCTCAAAAGAAGCATACTTATTCATCCACCTGGGTGGTCGGTTTGTTTTTCTTTTTCTTCCATAGTGTAATAAAATTATCTGGAAGGATAAGTAAAAGGGAGAAACTTCAGACCTCTTTTTAGATAAGGAAGAGTTTAAGAACCTGGGGCTATGGCTATCAAAAGATATAGTGTCTGGGGTCTTAAAGGCTTGAAGATAAACGAGCAGCCATCTACCTGAGCAGCACCAACACCATCATGGAAGAAGCACACTAGGCTGTGCGATCGTGAAGTGTCGATGGGATCAGGTATCAGGCATCAAGGACCCAGAACAAAAAAATCATATCGATGTGAATGAGGGGGTGGGAAGAGTGGAGACCCAAAGCCCATCTGTAGACAACTGGACATACCCTCAGAGAAGGGTCACAAGGAAGAGACAAGCCAGTCAGGGTGCAGTATAGCACTGACAAAACACCAACAAAACTTTCCTCTAGTTCTTTAATGCTTCCCCCCACCCCTGCCTATCATGATTCCAATTCTGACTAGACCAGAGCATGTACACTGGCACAGATAAGAGCTCGCAACACAGGGAATCCAGGACAGATAAACCCCTCAGGACCAATAACAAGAGTAGCAATAACAGGAGGGTAGGGGGAAGGTGGGGGAAGAGAAAGGGGGAACCGATCACAAAGATCACGTATAACCAACCCCCCACCTCAGGATGGTGAACAACAGAAAAGTGGGTGAAGGGAGACAGCGGTCAGTGTAAGACATGAAAAAAATAATAATTTATGAAGGGAGACAGCGGTCAGTGTAAGACATGAAAAAAATAATAATTTATAAATTATCAAGGGTTCATGAGGGAGCAAGGGTGGGGAAAAATGAGAAGCTAATACCAAGGGCTCAAGTAGAAAGAAACTGTCTTGAAAATGGTGATGGCAACATAGGCACAAATGTGCTCGACACAATGGATGGGTAGATGGATTGTGATAAGAGCTGTAAGAGCCCCCAATAAAATGATTTTTAAAAGAGTAGAACCTGGGGCTATTGGGGATGTAGAAAGAGGACTCTGGTGTGGCCAGTTGTGTTCCAGAACATAAAATAGATAAACATGCTCAGCATGGTGTGCACTATGCATGACCAAGAGAGGGCTTCAAACCCATTCACTGGTATAAATCCCTCCGTAGACTAAGAAGCCGCTGGGTATCTTGTTGAAACAGATTCTGCATATGGGGTAGAAATGCAAATTCTCCACAGGGGGCTAAACCGAACTGAATCAGATGGGAACCATAGACCAGAAGATCTGTAGGAGGAAATGCCTTACTGTCGAAGCTATCCACAAATGGAAGCAGTGTCTCTAGGGGGAGATTCTACTGGACGTACTCGAGAGGAAAGCTACGATGCACAAGGCTGAACTCAGTCCAACTTAGACCTTTGATTCCTGACAATTTTAGACCTGTGATTCCTGAAAACGTTAGGAAAGAAAGAATCCCGTGCCACAGTCTCTCGATGCACAGGGTGATAAGGACCACAAAGAGAGTGTTCTAGAAAGAGGATCTTTGGGAGGAGCATTGTTACGCGTTTCAGTTGGTTCCAACTCATGCCTACCCAACGCGTGCAGAGTAAAACTGAAAACAGGTGTGGGGGTGGGCGGGCCTTTTTTATAATAGGGCCTGGGTCTAGTTCCAGCGGTGCCACTAATTCACCTGATGGATTTCTGGCCATCCTCTTTGATGCTGATCTGTAAAAAGAGAACACTGGGCTCCCTTCCAATCACAGCATTCGATGATACTAAGGCTCAAAAACGAAAGTCAGCGAAAAAGAGGAAGGCCCTCAACAAGATGGATTGACACCTTGGCTGTAACCATGGGCTCAAATAGAAGAACAACTGTGGTGCAGGGCCACGTGGTATTTCACTCTGTTGTACATTAGGCCACTGTGAGTTGCAACCAACTCAATGACACCTGACAACACTGGTTCAAATTACTAAAAATTTACTGCACAATTTTTCTGTAAAGGACCAGATAGTAAAGAATGAAAGTTTTGTGGGATACCTACAGACTCTGCCATGCATTCTTCTTACTTTGTTTGCTCTTTTTAAAATTCTTTAGAAGTATGCAAATAATTTTTGGCTGTGGATTACACATGAATGGGCCAGATTTTGTCTATGGGCTAAGGTTGGATAAGCCTTGTATAAAGCATTGAAGGATATATTAATAAAATCTTCCAGAAAGAATAAAGTCAAAAATGGGGTTTCAAAGGATACACAGTCTCCAAAAGAAAACAAACTGAGAATGAGGTGCCAGCGGCAGGGCAGGGAGCCAGGAGACACATGGACATAGGCACTGAGGAAGTTAGAAGGCCAAGTCCAAATACAGTAATAGATGAGACACTGGCTGTAAGTGTTTTTCTTTAGTCAAGGGAGCATACTGGGCCTGGACTATTCTGTCTTGCACAGCCCAGAGACAATATAGGAACCAGGATGCCCATCCCTAACCCAGCCACTCTTGGTGCCTCGATAACAGAGAGAGGATGTTAACTGGAAGAAAGTCAGCATGTTGAATGATCAGGGTTCAGAGGTCCTGACTAATACGGAAAGATTAAACATGGACAGATGCTAGCAGGATCATTAAGTAGCATTTAATGGGGCAAGTGATACCAATGAACAGATAGCCGAAGAGTGCGCACACAATCATCAGCACTTGTAGGGCTGACGAGACACATCAGAAGAACAGAGTTCATGGTAATTGTCTCAGAAACAGCAAATGATGGATATGACTCTTGGCTCCAGCACTTATAAATTGATATAGCGGGGGTGGGAGAGTAGTGGGTGGTGGTGGGAGGGATCAGACCAAGGGGCAGCACACATGGAAAACCAGAGGCAAGAGTCCTGAATTCCAGAGACAAATCACAACTGCATCATGATTTAATGGCCTCTTCTGTAAAAGGACAACTGCCTGCCTACTCTCCCAGTCTCCTGGTCTTCTGTGAAGACTACTGGGCTGACCACTGTGACCCAGAGCAAAAACAATTCAGGGCCTACCCCCTACCTGGTGAAATGACAATGGGACTCTATTCAGTAAGAGCTTACAGGCTCATCTCTGTACATCCCCCACGACAACCACTGGGAGTCATCAGGACGGATAGGATTCGATCTGTTTGACGTTTAAGTAAACTGAGGCTGGAGGAGGTTATCCCAAGTCACATGACTCAAGCCATGTTAAAGCCAGTACAATAACTTGAGTATTCTGGCTCCTAGCTGAGCATTTTCCACTGTGTCTGGAAAGCAGGGTGTATGGAGGAAGAGTTAGCCACTCTGACTCCACATTTCTTGAAACTTTCCTTCCCAACTGGTTCCTATAATTCCTTTTCTAAGAAGTTAAGGCAACACACACACACACACACACACACACACACACACACACACACACGGAAGCAAAACCAAACCCAGTTAATCCATTCTGACTCATCGTGGTTCTGCACAGGATTTCCAAGACCTTTCATCTCTGTGGCAGCTGTTGATGGGTTCAAACTGCTGGCCTTGCTGGGAGAAGCCCGGCATAGAAACCACGAGACCACCGGGGATCCTTACACACATACGTTATGAAAAAAACCCCAACTCTTCCTTTGTACCTCTGACAAAAAATGTCATGGTCATCAAAGGATTCTTGGCCCAATCTCGCTCCTCTAAGTCAAAAGAGTTCAACACAGCCACCTGCTGGCACTGTAGCATTCCTCCGTCCTGGGGCCAGTGAGCCTCCAGGACGGCTCTCAAAAGCAGTGGGAATATTGGCACATTGTTAGATCCTCTCCTTTTCTGGTGACAGGGTGTGCCCCACTCTGTCACCGTGAAATCCCCAACTTAGGGCTCTGAGAACAAGTTTCTCAGGTTTGTGTGTCTCCTGTGTCCCGGAGAATCACTTCCCTCTCCCGGTGCCAGATCAGCCTCCTCCTCCTCCTCCTTACTTTTGGCACCGCTGTCCAGACTCCAGCTGTCCTGGCTCTGGAAACCCCAGGCACCAGCCTAGGGGCCAGCCTTTAGAGGAGGGGGCAGTGGGCCATCTGAATCTGCCTGTCCCTCCATCCTGCATTCTTTCTGCCCCATTGGGCTAGAGAGGCACATTCGCAGCGCCAGCTGTCCTCTCGGGCAGTGATTCGCATGCAGCGACCCTTTAATACAGTTCCTCATGTTGCGGTGACCCCAGCCATACAATTATTTTTGTTGCAACCGTCATCACTGTCATTTTGCTACTGTTATGAACCGGGCGACCCCTGGGGAAAAGGTCGTTCGACACCCTCCCCCCCAAGGAGTCGCGACCCACAGGTTGAGAACCGCTACCCTAGGGGCTGGTCCCTCACTCCTGCCTGCCCATGGTGCTCCTGGCCACGTCTCTTACTTCGCGTCCTCATTGGGTCCCCTGCGCTGCATGAGCTCTCTTCCCTTCCCTTATGCGCTTTCCTCTCCTTTCCTTTGACCCTGCAATTAAACCCACAGTCCCCAGACGTCGTCGCTCTCCGTGGGCTCTTAGCACCTCCCTCTGCCCCTGTCCCCTGCCCACAGTCCCTGAGCCCCACATACCCAGAGCCCGACAGCCATCACCACCACGAAGTAAACGACGATGACCGAGATGTCGGCGGCATTGCGGATGCGCTCATGGGGCGCGAGAGTTGGGGCGACAGTGGTGACCGCGGGGCTCCAGGTGCTGCGGTCCATGGCGGCTACTCGGTCAGTCCGTCCCGGCCACTGCCTCTTTATATAGCCTTTCTATAGTTAATGATCAGCTCCCGAGGGAGGAGACCTGGGACGCACCCCCGGTGGGGCAACGACGCCGTAGCCACGAGGAGTCCCGGGCTGCGCTGTGTGGCTCTGTAGGTGATCGGTGATCAGCGTTCGGGGAACAGTGAACAGGTCGGTGGCACCCGCCGAGCTAAGTGACCTGAGCTACAGGCGGGCTGGGACGCCTCAGGTAAGGGCTGGCCCAGAGCAGGGAGGGGCTGGCCAGGGGGTGGTGCCGACCTGGCACAAAGGCTCCCTGTGCTCTTGGGCACCCACTGGTCTGCATCTAGACCCACCAGGAGGCCACTCCCCAGGCAGATAAAGATCGTTTCCATCTGGGACCCTGTTGCCTGGGGCCGGGCTCAGAGGCTGTGTGCCGCTTGCCTGCTCTTCTCTATACTGTACATGAAACAGGTGTAAGTTAGCAAAGTTTGCCCTGTCCCGGAACAACACTGCGAAGGTGAGGACATTGCTGGATATCCCTGGGAACAGTTCAGCACAATTGCGATCGGTCGGTCACAGGCACGGTCATCCACCCTCCTGACACCACTACCCACCCACGCCCTCATTTTACAGCCAGAAACCAGGAGGCACCCATGGCCCCTCTGTGAGGAAGGAGGCGCTGAGGCTGCAAGAAGGACTCCTAGGGGACCATTTTCTTATCCGGGGTCTCACCTGCTTCCCACGGAGGTCATCTGAGGCCCTTCTCTCAGGTAAGTGTTGGACTATTCACCACAAGGCGGGGGTTCAAACCTGTTCCCCAGGGAAAAAAGATAGGTTCTTTGTTCCCACAAAGATTTACAGCCTCAGAAACCCGATAGAGGGTCACTATGAGACGGAATCAACCCGATGGCAGTGACTTTGGTTTGGCTTGTTTTGGTTTTTGTTTGGTTTAGTTTGGTCTGGTTTGGTTTTCATTTTTTGTTTTGGTTTGGTTTGGTTTGACTTGGTTTGGTTTGGTTTGGTTTGGTTTGGTTTGGTTTGGTTTGGTTTGGCTTGGCT